ATTCAGACAGAGGTTGTCCAGGGACAGAGCTGCTCCTTTGGGTAATTGCATTCCCAGGGCTGCCTGGTGCCTGTCAAACTCCCCCCTCCCATGGACACTTTTTGAGCATCATTATGAGTAAATATGTCATCCTGAAGGATGAAAATATAAAAAAGCGGCAGCTCCTCTAAACTTGAATGTTACCACTACACTGGAACACAAAAATGTTGCTCCCTGACTGCAGAGGGGACATGGGTGACTTCCCCACCACAAACACAAATCTTTATCAACTTGGATGCACAATTAAGCTAAACATTCCTTCAACAAAGGGTAAAAAATTACTCCTTGGGTGGTGTCAGGGCTGAGAGCAGAGCAGTAAAGGCTCCAGAGCATCCTGAGTGATCAGTCCCATATAAAACATTCTCCACTAAGCTTTGTTCTGGCAGCATTCCCACTATGTGAGGAAGGAAACGCACAGCTGGATGTAAAGCTTGCAATGCACAACTGCCTTAACTACATGGCAGAAGGATGGCAGTTCATAATTAATTTTCCACATCAACTGTTGGCTGCCCTCCTCTTCCTCTCTGCTAGGCTGCAAACTGTCAGTGGATACTTATCCAGAAAGCAGGCCTGCCACAGAGCAAAAAGCATGATTATTATTAGCTAGTATTTTACAGGGCATGCTAGCCAAAAATCAGAGGTAAATGAGCCTGGGCAGAGTGAGAGCAGCACCAGTGCAAAGGCAGCCCTGCCAGAAGCTGCTTGTCCTCTGAGGGATGCAAAACCAAAGGGAATAGAAAAGCAAGATGAAGAGAGCAAAACAGATAGGAGAAGGCTGTAAGGAGACAGAAAAATCTGTTCTCAGATCAAGGTTTTGAGCCAGCTAATTTCAGAACACCTGCAGCCCAAAGAAACACAGGCCCTTTTCCACCCTGGCTGGGCTGTGCACAGCCCATGAGTGCCAAGCAGAGCTCTGCAGAGGACAGGGGGCTCCAAACTGCTTTGACTTCTGAGAGAAGGAACGTGTGCTGCACTCAGAGCCAGCATTTCCATCCCTCCGTCACCAGGTTTCTGCACAACTGGAGTGCAGAGTTACCACAAGGAGGTTGCTGCTCCTCGCAGGGGAAGTGTCTCCAGAAGAAAACAAACCCCAACTTCATCACGCTCTCTGAAGCACCACTACAAACATCAGAGGGCAGAAGGCAGAGCCACAAGCTGCCAGCCCAGGAGCAAGGCCATTTGAATGGCTGCAGACAGACCCACTGACTTCTCAGCACTTCAGGAGAACAGGTAAAGGACTATTATATTTCTGTTCTGTGATTGGTATCTCAAGAATCTCATGTTAGTACTGGAGTTTCTTATTTTCTTTCAGAAATTCAGCTCGGTTCTGCCGCTGCTATCACCTCTTTAATTCATTTTACAACAAGATATTTGTTATCAGAAATTGTGCTTTGATATGTGTCAGGTTGATGGATTCAATAAAAGCCCTGTGAGGAGAAGCTGAGTGAATGTGGCTGCAGAAGTGGTGTCATCAAGGGAATTGATACCTTAACAGCCAGTCTGCTGATCTTGCAACAAAAACATGCAAATATAATAGCTGTTTTATATCCTCACCCTGGAAAAACAGTACAGAAACATTAGAAAACATTTGCATAAATGTTACTCATGCAAACAAGCTCAGCCTGCTCACTGATAAAAAAACATATGTAAAACACAATCCTGCATGCTGTCCTCTTGTCCTGCTTGGTGTTCAAAATTCAATCCAGGGGATGAAGGCTTTAATCAAAATACAGCTTTTAACTTAATTTTGGGAATTCAAGCAGCAATCCCATGATGCCTCAACCAAAATTTTCCCACAATAATGTTGGAGGACAATTTTACTGACAAATGTTCAGACACAGCCCTGTACCCCTCAGCAAAGACACTGAAGAGTTGCATTAGGGTCTTACTGTGAGAGCCAAACCCACAGGCATATGAAATCAGAGTTTTTTTCCTGATTTAATAAATGAAATCATGTAATAAACAGGAAAATTTTGAAGAAAGAGTAAGTTTTTATCAGACCATATAATACAATGAATGAGAGAGGGAGAAGTCTCTGCTTCACCTGGTCAGAGCAGCACAGCTGCAACACCACCCCTGCACTGGCCTGGAGCACACAGAGATTTTTTTAACTGGAACTGATCTACAGAACATCTGGAAAAGGTAAAAAAAATGTGATGTTGATATTCAACTTTTGGAAAAGAGAAATAATATAACTAGTCCAAACAAAGCAAAGGGAAAATTTCCATAGCAGTTAATCTGAAAAAGGTGAATTACATTGAGGATTTATGTTCATGTAATGAAGACAATTAATTGCTATGAGAGCCATAAAACACATTAAATGAACAGGTTTTTTTTCCAATTCTACTTGCAAGATAAAATTTATTAACTATGTTTAATGGCTACTTAAAAATTTCTCTTACATATTTATTAAATGTGCCTTTTCAGCCAAACAGAGCATTTTACTAACCAGATCTTACTAACCTAAAAATGAGCAATTTCAGAAAAAAAAACTACTGCTCTGCACATTATCTGCAGATCCATTTAAACTAATTCCTCATGCAATAAGATTACCATCAGCACAATTTCATAAGTGTTGCTAAAAGGGAATCTGCTCGTCTCACGTGAGCAAACACCCTGCTGCAAAGATGAATTCAGCTCACATTATCTGAACAGATGTTTCAGTTTTCAGCAGAGATAGGGAGGGAAACCTTGGGTCCTGATGTCATTAAGTGTTACTGTAATCACTTAATTAAAACTCTCTCTACTTGGGAGAGCAGGACATGTGGAAGAAACTGGATTAGGTGGGAGCAGTGACCTCAGAAAGATCCATAACTGAATCTGGTGCTCAGCCAGGGCTGTGTGCCTCCAGCTGCCTGAAAATCAGGGGCAGATGTTTGCCACTTAAAAGTGACCTAGAAGTGACCCTGTTTCTTATGCACCATTTACAAAATGGACATAAGTAGCACTTCTGTCCTACAAGGGTGTTGTGGGAACAGATGAAGTTGATGGCAGTCAAGTACTCTGGTAATCACGAGTCCCCAAGATGAAGAGAATCAATAAGGAAAGGCCTCATCTACTCAAGTGAGCAACAGTTTGGCCAAATCTTTATAGTTTAGCACAACCTTCTCAAAGTGCAATGTTCTTAAAGATGAAGTTTCCATAAGTGTGAGATTTAAATAAGAACCGAGTTTTAGATCTGATGGTCACAAAGTAAAATGCAAACGTATAATTCAAATCCAACCTAGAGTTTAATGCCTTAACAATAATTTCACACAAATCATTTATAAAGACCTTAGAGTGAGACTTGGATTGGCTCAGGAATGACAGGGGAGCTCATTTCCTGCCCCCCTATCCAAGGCAGGAGCAGCACCACAGTCACACCAGCAACCAACATCTCTGGAGCAGATCCTCACACACCCCAGGTACCCCGCAAAACTCACACACTCACTGCAAGGAAGATTTGCATATTTCAACTCAGACATCTCAAACCCAAACAAGGAATAAACAAAACTGCTGTGATTTCTATATTATAACAGTGCCAAATTTTTCTCTGCAAGAGTCAAGAAGCTCTCTTGATTACAAAATACCTCTCCTACAACCTTCCCTTTTAAGTGTTATAATCACAAGAGTGGCAGCTTGGAAATAAACAGAAGTGAAGAGGATAATAAAGGCAGGGGCAATGTCTAACAAGCTCCTCTTCCAGAAACCAGAGCAGGCAGACAAGCAGAGCTGTGCTGTGCTGTAATGATGGGAACCTTGCCCTGGCAACCGTGTTGTTTGCCTGAAATTCCTGTACAAATTAACAGCACATGCTGTGGTTGGAACAGACCTTTCTTGACCCTCAACATTTAAAAGTTAAGCACCCAATTTAAGCTGTTCCAACCAACTTTTCCCTGCAATTGCCAGACACTGGCAGAGCTCTGCTGGAGCATGAGTTAGAGCCCACAATTTCCAGAGCTGACATGACGAGTGCAACCAGATCAAAAGCAGGAGAAGCAATGTACACTCACCTGCATTGTGATTTATTTTAGAGGCTTTTAAGAAAGTCTTGACTTCTTTTCCCTGCTCCTCCACTGACACCAAGCACAGGTGTTATATTGCTGCTGTACTTTTCTCAACAAGATTATAGTGCTGGTTCAGTCATATGGAGGAAGTCAATACCCATGTGCTAAATGAAAAAGGATAATATCATCTGATACCACTCTACTGAGATCTTGGAACCATTGCTTTAAATCTGTTTTTTGGGGGTTTTTTTGACTCAGAAAACTTTGCCTTCACAGAAATAACTTGACCTAGGTAAAAGAAGCAATAGAGACTGTATTACCCTAAAATCTCACCAGCATGATCTTCGTTAACAATACATCCTGCCCTTCAGTTTCTTTTTAGAAAATGGTTGCATATTGCCTTGCTACAGTTCCAGCACAGCCAGGGCAACATTTGTGTGAGTATGAGAACGCTCACACAGACAAAAATTTTAAGTGCTACACAACAAAGGGAGAATGCAATTATACAGGAAATTGGTAGTGGTATTTCCATCCTTTGCACACAGTGAGAATATACAAAGCACAAAGAAAAGCAAGGGGCTGAATTACAAATGGGCTACTTCATCTCTTTTTATTTTCCCCATCTCTGACCCTCAGAATTACAGTCATTAGTGAAACACAACAAGTGGGATTTTCAAAACACAGATTCCTATCACCAAGTATCCATCACCAGCAGCAACACGCAACCGTCAGCGAGCATTTCGTTCAATAAAGAACTTCACATGAGCAGACACCCCCTCAAGCCCAAGACAATAAAAACACTTCACTCCTGGTGAACGCCTTCTAAATTCAGAGAGAGCAAAGCTTATTTACAGGCACAGTATGAGCATGCCATGAATGCAGCAATAAACTCAAAGGCTGCTAATGCTCTGCTTTCCCCACATGTAGATATTCAGAAAAGAGTAAAAATACAAGAGCAGGGGAAGAAATACATACCTTACCAAACCTGACTGTTGGACACGACTCCTTTCAGAGCAACATTGGGGTGAAGATAAGTTCCTCAGGCGACCACCAACCACAATTCCTGTCCGAGCCCCCCAGAGGCTCCAGCTCTCCCTTGCCCGTGTCCCTGAGGAAGATGCAGTGTCCTCCAGTATTTCAGAGCCTCAGCTGCAGAGGATGCTGCTCAGAAAAAGAAAAGAGAAGAAGGTGTGGCATTAAATTCTAGGGTCAGTTGTTTGGCAGATTCAGAGCAGAACACAAGACAACATTGGATAGGAATGAAATGTCAAGGCAGGACAGAGAGTCTATGACAATCCATCATGTGTGGCACCTTCAGAGGGCAATCATTGAATTCAAGAAATGTGGTGCAAAGCTATTCTTGCTTTACAGTACTTTTATAGTGTCCCTAGACCAGGAAATGAATGACAGCCTGGCTGCTTTTTATTCCAGTCCAATATTGTAACACAAAAGTAAGTAATGCACTTCTCCATAGGGAATATTTTAATTCATTATGGCATTTCTGAAGAATAACAGGACTTTCATATTAAAAGCAGAGACATCACCTCAGTCTTAATACTCTGCACAATAAAATGGCTCTTACTCAAGAAATTCTGTGAGCTCAGGAGCTCACAGCAGATGGGAAGTCGTGACTGCCAGCCCAACATGCCACAGCTCCCAAAGTTCTGCCTCCAACGCAATTGTCAGAGACTGGGAAATGTCCCGGGGTTTTCTGGGAGCAGAGGGCTCAGCAACACCACATTTTCCAGCCCACTGTCACTGCTAGAGGTGCTCAGAGCTCCCAAGAGGTCAGACCCTGGCACTGAGCAGGGATGTGGGAGACAGCGATGGAGGCAGCACTCCCAGCAAGCAGAAATCTCTGAGCAGCCCTGGAAGTGCAAATGCTCATCCCTCAGCCCTGGCAGATGGGAAACACTCAAAGGATCATCCTTCCCCCACCCAGGTAATACAGCCTGTGAAGCAAAACTGGGCACAGCAGCACAAAACAGGTGAGGACTGAGGAAAGAGCAGCATCTGAGCTCCCTATGTCAGATATATCCATGGCTCACATCCTTAAACCACACCCAGAGATGCTCTTCTAAGATTAACTCAGAAGCCATGAAGATACTCTGATTCTGCCTAGGAATTTTATGAAAAGCAAAGGGAAAAAACACCAGAGATATACAAGAGGTTTCCCTCAGAGGAGAAAACCCATGGCAGCTCCAAGTACCACAAAATCCCATTACACTTTCACAAGAAACCCTGAACCCACAAACAGCTTACACCTATCTGGAAAACACATTAGGTTTTGGGCTTGCAAGAAGGAAGATTTCAGCAACCAGCACATGAAATTGTGCATACTGGAAGTTAGCATCATACTGCCTTTTATATACATATATAGACACACACACATACACACAAATGCACATAATGTTTTTCTTTTTTTGTTGAAGTCCACACAGCTCACATAGTCACACAGATCAGAACAATCCAATAAATTTACTTTATTTAGCACTAATTACTTTACTGGACCTCATATGTTCCATACACCCCTAAAGGCTCCCCAACACCTTGCAGGACACCCACAACAGGAGTCAGGGTGGCAGACAGCAGCCTTGTGATTATTGTTCACATTTGCAGAATTCCTGCCTCTCTTGAACTCAGACATGAAGGACAAAAGTGGACCTTCAGCTCCTGCCCTCTTCCAGGCCAACCATGAAAAATCAGACTGCCAACTGAAATGGCTGCTGAGTGACTTATGGGCACAGGAATGGCTGATGCTGCACTAGTTTGATCTGCAGGCAGCAGTAAGACCTAATTCTGCTGCTTTTAAGGGATTTTATCTCTGGAGACCACAGCTACAATTACTTTTTCATTTCTACTCGTAAATTGTAACATAGAATAGTCACTAAAGAAAATCAGTGCTACATTTCTGTGCATTAACCAGAGCATCAGCTGAGTGGAGGAAGTAACAGCAAGAGCACCAGATCATCACCGAAACCTGAGTGCAGGGCTCAGGCTGGGAAAGGTGGGGCTCTGGATGTTCCTGTTTAGCGCAGTTTGCCAAAGAATATCTAGCAACGTGAAGAAGTAACAGGAGGTGAAACAACTTTATTCATGACAAAGTGCACTGAGTGTGCACAATTCCCATCTCTCATGATGTAACTGAGATGGGGCAACTTAATGGAATTAAATCAATGCCAGGTTTCCAGGGAGCAGCAAAGTGCAGATGCTCCAGTCTGAAGGCAGCGTGCTCCCTCCACACTCTGCTGATGTGATCACACAGTACAGAGGCAGCGAGCCAGGCCAGGGACCATCCTAGTCAGCAATAAAGCAAAAAAGCTACAGAAGATAAATGCATGGAAACCCTCATGAGCTATAATTTGTGTCGGCTCAGAACCATACAAGGGAAGAAAAAGAAGAAAAAATATAGTTAAAAAAATTAAAGAATGTATGCCATTTGTGTTGCCCAAACCTGCACAGTTTTACAGAAAACCCCTTCACATTCACTCAGTAGGTCAGTCCTGACCTGATGGCCAGTGTCCAGCTGGTTTCCCTCTCAGAGCCTCAGAGATCTCATCACAGAGCTGCCAAGATGGTTCTGGCACCTCCTCGCCTTTGGGCAGCTCCTGCCAAGCCCAGAGCCTCAGGAGCTCCCACAGAGTGAGAACAGGGTGCCCAGAGCAGCTGTGGCTCCCCATCCCTGGAATTGTCCAAGGCCAGGCTGGACAGGGCTTGGAGCAACCTGGGATGGTGGAAGCTGTCCCTGCCCATGGCAGGAGGTGGGACTGGATGGGCTTTAAGATCCCTTCCAACCCAAATCCAACCCATCCCTTCCAACCCAAATCATCCATTAAAGCCTGTGCCTGCTGTAGGAGCTGGCACTGTTCCTACCTGAAACAAAACCAAGTCTGAACTTGCAAAAAATGCCCCATGTCTTAGAAACCCCAGAGTCTGGTTGTGTTGTTCCTAAGTTGCTGTGCTCCCCCAGTTGTCTTTGATCAGAGGGAACACGCCGACAAACTGCAAATTACTTTCATTATCCCACCACTTCAGATTTTTACATTCAGTTAACATAGTTAAGTGGTATCAGATCCGTCTTCCACTCACAAAAGCCAGCATATGGATCTTCTCATTAATCAGAAAAGGCAGACAAGACATTTTTCCAGTAAAAAGAGAGTATTTCCCTTGGAGGAATCCCAGTCCTTTGCTGATGGAAAGCATGCATTATACAAAATAACTACATACTTTAGACGTAACAAATAAGCTCAAATATTAAATTTGAAGATACCACTTCTATCTTGGGATCTTTCCAGGCCACAAATCAATGAAGTCTGGGAGACTTGCTGTCTCTCAGGAAGCCTTGCTGTACCTTTGCCCTGTTCTTAATTCTTGTCTTTAGGCATCAACTATTGATTCCTGTTGGGGTGAGGACAGGAGCTGGGCGGACCCTCCTCTGACCCAGCACACTCATCCTTAGATTTGTGTGTCATACAGCTGAAGGGCCTTGTGGCAACATCGATGAGCATCTGCAACTTCAGCAAGGGCAAAAAAAGAGGTATCTGGAAGCTAAACAACACAGCTGTGAGCAAATATCACAGTGTAGTAGATATGCAAATTAGTATTAGTTTGTCTCATCAAATATTAATTACAATCTACCTAATTGCAATTGAATAAATTAGTTGGGCGGAGAAAAGATTAAATATTTTAAGTGGCTGGTGACTGAAAAAATAATTGAAAACATAACTCCTTGCTTAAATATGAAATTTCTTTTGTTTTTATTGCATTAAGAAATCAGAATTCCATCTGTGTGTGCATTCACGTAGATGTGTACGACACATATGGAACATGTTCATACATATTCTTCTAACTTCCCCCTTTCCTGAAACTAAACTTGAGTAAGTATTTTCAATTAATAAAGAAGAGCTCCAGTGGCAGAGCCAGAAGAAAGGCTGTGAAACAGGCAAGGGAAAACACATTTTTACTGCTAAGTATTTAGCAAGGTCACCTACCTCTGCAAAGGCAGGAAAAGAGATCCCCCAGCAGACTCTGAGCGCAGCAGGGGATTACACCAATTCATTAGCAGGTATATCTGCTAATTACAGCCTCGGACACAGTCCCCACACGGCTGAGCAGGGAACAACTGCTGCTTTCTGCTTTTTCCTCGGATCAAGCCCAGAGTTTCCTGCTGAGCTGCAGGACAGCACCAGCACAACCCCACCACAGGCTCCAGCTCCAAGCCAAGCTCTCTTTATCCCCAAGGATGCTCCTGACTCCTCTCAGCTCCAGTCCCAGGGGAAGCTGTGGCAGCAGCAGCTCACCACGTCAGCTCCATCTCTGCTGAAGATCTCACATTAATTTACTGCAAAGGTGACACGGGTGAAGAAGGCAGTAAAATGAGACTTTGAATCTTTCCCTCCAGAAGGACAGTGGTAAAAAATTGGTAGCAATGCAACTCTGGCAGATTTCCAGCTATAACACTTAAGAGTGTTGCTCACAGCCGTGTCCCAGACACACTTTATCATTCACCATGGCTCAGTGCAAAACATAAATAAAACAGAAGTCATCAGCACTACTGGCACTCAGCTGTTTGGAGGCTTTTTTTTCCCTTTCCCTGCCAACAAAACAAATAGTGAAACAGGAGAGCTGCAATTCAAGTGGTAACACCAAGCATTAGAAATTTGGTGGGGACTGGTGGTGTGATGGGAAATTGATCTATTAAAGAATGCAAGCAATAATAAAATGAAGAATATTTTGACTGGGATTAATACAATAGAATGCTGTGATGCTGCTGAAGATCAGCATTGATTTTTGTTATCCAGGTACAAACTAATGGTATCCAGGAAAAAGGAAATAAGTGGTCAATCACCCTTGTTGAAGGAACTATTCCCATCATCATAGCATCAATGTTACATTACCAGGTTCAAGAATGTAATTAATATCTTGCTGTATTAGAAAATGCTCTGACACTGAACAGGTTTTGCTGCTGTTGCACATAAGTAAATACTCCAGAAGATGAACCCAAGAAATGCCACAGAAATACTTCCAATTTGAAATAATATCAACTCCTTTCTTCAGCAGGCAGTTGGTTTTAACCAAAGCTGCTTCCCAAGTTCAAAAGCATTAAGTTGCAGGTTACTGTCTAACTCTCCAGCTGCCAAAGCTGCATTACACTATTAAGT